TGTTGAAACACACACATGAAAACCTTTTCTTGAAACTTAAATTTACATTTCAACTTATGTCTTTTACTATAATTTGCTTTATTTTTTATACCCACCACTGTATGATGGGGGTTTACCCATTTTGTTTTTTTTTTTTTTCATAATGTATGTAAAACCAAAAAGGAAATTTCAGAATTGTATAAAGTATACATATTCTTCATCAGCGTGAAATTCGGAGTCAATTTAGTCATGTCTGTCTGTCTGTGTGTCTACGTGGAGATTATTGTCGGCACTCTCCCATTTGCAAAAATGATTATGTCGACTTGAAATTTGGTAGAAACATTGAAAGCTTTTGCAGGCAGGCTTTTGAAAATAAGCCAAAGTAGTCAAAGCATACGCCGGCAGTGGGGCTTAACGAAAATGTGTGGATTCAGAAATTGTAAAAGTTAGAAAGCTGAAATTTTCCACATTTACTTAGTGAAACAGTCTATTCTTTACGTGCAAAAATGAAAAAAAAACGGCCATGCCTATACAAGATTATAATTGATTAAATTTAATTTTTTCCCTTTTTTGAAGTTTTATGCTTATTTATCGCTGCATGAACAAGTCAGAATGTTTAAAACTAGTTGGGCATTCCTCAAATAAAGACACATTATCTGTCTACGAATGGGTTAATTCTAAAATGAATACGCTAAGCACCGCGATTACTTTTTTCTTAATACAAACGATATAGGTGTCAAATAAAGGAACTTGGAAAGTAGAATGCGAACCCACCGTGCGGTGGGTATGCTAAATTCGGCCACCGCCGAATACAGCTTCCTTACTTGTTTTTGTTTAGTATTACTGCAAAGTAATATTCACTCTCAGCTGACAATTAGTCAAATTGTAAACAACCACACACACGCACTCGTTGCCATAATAAGCCATTCAGATGGAACTCTTTTTAAATAGTTCTTTGCTATATTATTAATTTAAAAATTTAAAAATTTGTAGAATATATTTTAGATTTTATAATATTTTGATTTCGTATTTCGATAAAGATTTTTCTCCTTTTCTTTTTTTGATCTAACGTTCAAACTATTACATTTGTTTTGTAGACAAGCTCAGCTGTTTATTAAATCACATACATCTTTCAAGATGCATATACACGTAAAGCGAAATGCAAAAGAGGATGGAGAGAAATCCACCACGTAAGAATATTTACTCACACACATAAGTATACAAAGAAGAAAAGAGAGGTTATGTCCGACACGCGTCGTTCTATTTCTATTACGTTAGTCGTATTCCGAACAATTTCTGAAAGTTGGTGTATATAGATAGATGAAATGGCAGCGATCACATGGATCACAAGAATGGTAATACCTGAACTCCACGCTTAAAAGCCCGTACGCAGTTATGTTCAAAGCAAAACGACTATTATAGGCGAGCAAGCATATTCGCGGATACATTACAAACACATTGTCTGTAAAAGTATAAATTGAAATAAGTTCAATAGCAATTGTCTTCCGATATCAATTTTTTTTTTATTTGGTTGTAAGTTCCTCTTATCCACTATATAGAATGAAATGTTTATGATTCCTTTCGTAACCCGCAGGAATACACACTTTTATGACATATTTGCGTTTTCGGCAGACATTTGTTTCCCTAAAACTTAACATATTTTTTGGACACTATACTGTCATAACTTTCATCAAATCTGTACATGTGCGAGTTAGTCATAATTTAGCAAATCTGTGTAGACAATTGAATGATAAAACTAGCAAATTTTCGCACCTTAGTCTGGCGGGAAATAGTTTGCATTTTTGCGACCAGAAATAGGCATACGATGAGCGAACAATGAGTTCATCTGTTTCTTCGTATATAATATTTATATATGTTTGCCAAAAATCCTTCCCAGTGATTAGTGACATAATATTCGCGTTCGCATAAACAAAAGAAGCCCAAACTAGGCCTAGATATTCTTGTTAGATAACGATAAATCAATTTTAAAAGTGAACTGAATATAGTTTCCAAAATGGCCCGGAATCGAAATCTTGATCGAAACGGTTATTTAAAAGTTTAGTGTAATAATTAATCGCCTCACATGGCAAATATAAAATGTTGGATTATTTATAAAGTAGATTTCTTAGTCTTACTTTACTCTATTTTTTAACTCTTCAACAATATTGAAACCGAACGGTGTTGTTTGCTCGGAGACACTTCGCACTTGGATGTGCAATTGTAAAATAGCTTTAAAAATGCCCGATACTTGCGAGTTAATATTCCCAAAATTGACAAAGCACTACGAATTCCATACGCTCGTTTAAAAGGGTTGAGCATCCAAGATTCGTCTCAAGACATACTTTTACATGTTTTATTTTTTATTCTCCTTTTTACGGAGAGCACCAGAGCATTAGACACAAGCTGTATTAATCTTACTCTTATTGTTGTTTCTTTCACTTTAACTTTATACAGGTTAATTGTCATTTTACTACTTGCTTTGCAATAGAGTGATAAAGATGTGATATCCACAGAAGAAGAAAACATGAAAAGCAATTTTATTCTTCTATTGTCTGTTTCAAGTCATGTAAATAATACATAAGATTTACACATATTTACTATGTCTATATGTGCACATATATAAATAAATGTATATATATACTTAAATTTTTGGGTATTTTCTTTATATACACACTTGGTCTTTTACGCAGAGTCTATGCATACAACGACATGTGCAAGTATATATAAAGGAAAATTTGTACGTATGTTGGATTGTTTTTAGCTGTTGATTTTCTTTTTTCACGCAACATATCCATACAAAATTTTGGCCTCAGAGATTGTCCCCATCCTATTCTTGATTTCAAGTACATACCGAACTAACTAACAAACGATTAATTTTATGCAGCACAAAAAAAAGACAGTGCTAAGAAAATATTAAAAAAATTAAAGAAATGCACAGCAGTAGTATATATATATATATATATATATATATATACGTGCGCATGTGTGTGTATTATATATATTTGCATACATACTATATATTTGCATATGTATGCATCTAGCAGCAATTAACAGCTGAAAGAAAATATAAAAACTACACAATCAGACGTGCAAATAGAAATGTAAAGAAAAAAAAACTTACGAAATTCCTTATATACAACTACGTTTTTACATATAAGCGAGTATGGACGTGTATATTATTTCAAGTTTATTTTTTATATATGTAAGATGTGTTTATAAATTCCTTTAACTTGAATTTTAACTAATTTCTTAAAATCTTTTTCCCCCTAATTTCTTTGTTTGCAAATTACACTCCAGTGAACGAACGTCGCATATACACACGTACACACGCGCACGAATCTACATTTAACTTGTACCTTTGAAAAACGAATTCATACTGAAAACAAACACAAAATATTTTAGGCAAATACAGAAAACCTCATACTACTATAATATGTATTGTGTTTATATAGGTGGTCGAGATAAATGAGAGCTTTAAAAAAAAAAAGAAGAGATTCACATATTAATGAGATTGCAAACAGTGGGGTAAAATACCAAATAAAATCCATAAAACCCCCTAAATGCACATGTATACTAACATAAAGAAGACATCAAAGTATGCAAAAAATGGAAAAGAACTCAGTAAGAGAGAAAAAGAGAAATCGGGCAGCAGAAAACTCGACATTTTTTCTTCTCCATCAAGGACAATTGGTAAACAACAACAAATCAAAAAAGGATAAAGTGGTTAATAAGAAAAGTAAAAAATGAGTAAAACGTTAGTTACATTCACTCTTAATGACTCAGAATTAAAACGTTTGCTAATTAAGTGATCTTTCAGGACAAGAAAAATTTCTCTTCTTGGAATTTGCCAACTCCATGATCTGACTGAAAATAATTCAAAGAGTCAGTCTGCATTTGTTAACAGCTGTTGCATTGAAAAACGACTATGAATTTGGTTATATACGAGAGTAATTCAAAATTAATTTGGTCATATCTGAGAGCAAGCGTCTGTATTTGTTTACAATTGAAAATAATTCAAAAAGTCAGCTGTTAACTGGCTGTTGTTATTCTTCTTGGAATTAGAAATTTTGTATGCAATTTTTCGACCTTTTTGTCTTTTTCTTTTCGTTTCTGAGTTGAAGTGAGCATTCATATATGTGTCCATACACACGTACATATATAACGGCTGTTTTCTCAACCTTACCATATGTTGTTTATAAAGTAAGAAAACAAAAGGCTAATCCCGACACTGCCATTGCAACAGGAAATGTTTACACAAAATATTAAATGGAACATATATGTTCTCTTCATCAAATCTCACACAAATATAAAAAATTCTAAATTATTTAAAGTAGTCAAGGCTGGAGTGCAAAAGGAACAATTATAAGAGCACAAGTTCGCTTATTTATACATACACTTAACAAGAGCTTCGTACAGTTACATATGCATGAGACACATGCATAACAACTGCTTAACCCAGCAATGTTCGCCAACAATAAACTGCGTAATAATGTACTAAATGTACTAAACAATAGTAATAATAACCCCCTCACTTTGTTCCTACGTGTATAAAGCATTGAATAATTATAAACAATTTTTCTTTGTTATTGTTTTTGTTCTTGTTTTTCTTTTTATAAGCAAACCAAAAAAAAAAAGATTAAGAGGAACCAAGGGACGTGAAAGATAAAGTAATGCGAGATGTTAAATACTTAGATATATGTCAACGAAGCTGTTGTGAACACTCGTCTCGATATTACTTTTAATATATTTACAAAATTATGCGCACACATGCCATCGTATATCTGTAATAAGAATTTATTAACAAAATGTTGCATACATGCTTAAATTTTACTTACGGCGATGTTTTTTTGATAAAAAGGGAAAATGCAACCATCTTCTTAAATAACTCTAACTTAATTATTGCTTTTGAGTGCCATACAAAAAATATAGAGACGACTTCTTCGCTACTTCACTATATTTTACAAACTTTTTAACATTTCACTGGATCATTTACTACAAAAATTTTTTTCTTTTTTATAACTAATAGTGATTTTTGCTTTTAATTTCCACTATTTACTGCATTACGGTTCAAATCACTATATCTTCCCTACTAAGCAGTTTTCATTAATTTTTTTTACCAGTGTTACCGTAAATAAATAATTATTTGTAATATTTTAAATCAATACATTGCAGTAGTCGACAGTAAAAATCGTGCGGAGATTCCCTCGATCTACTATTGCGTGTAACGGTTGGTGAATAGTTTTGTACGTATACTAACATTTTTTATGTCCGCCCTTATCACTGCTTAAGCTAATGTTTGTTGAAAATATTAATTACAGCTAATTAACTTGAAACTGCCCAAATGTATACAGTTTATCTATTATTATTTAAAATCTTAGCGAATTTTGCTGAAACTATTTATATCTTAATTGAGTGCTTGACTATAAATATTTTATAAAAATAGAAGACAATATTGGATCCACTGCTCTATTAAAACTGCGCTATGATAAGATATGAAGTTTTGTGTAAATGCATTTAAGTTGAATACCGTTTTTATCAAAGCACCGGACAATGTATTTTACGACTTGGGTAAGTAAGGCGACGAATTGCGGATAACATTGTCAGTTTAGAGTTGCGATGGTGCGATCCTAAACACCGTATTTAGTATATGCAAATGAGTTCAACAGCTTACTTAAGCTAATATTAAATAACAAAGCAGATTCCGAAACTTGTGATTGTAAATCTAACACTAGATTTAGCTGAAAGAAAACTTACGTTGTCATCCTATCTATCACTTACTATCACTATTGCTCACTACTGCTCTTACACTGCCAACATTTCGCATATTTCTCTCATATAAATCTTAAAATAAAATATACACATGATCAGTTGCCAATTTCAAATTAATGCACCCAGAGTCGATTGTTACTTTCAAGTTATGCACAATGAGGTAGAAAATAAAAACCTGATAAACATACTCTTAGCCTATTAACCTAGGTCAAATCAGAGGATGGATTGCAGTCTCCTAACACTTTACGAACAAAATAACAGGAAAATTAAGAGAATGTAAAAAAAGACTCGTCAATGACTTACACAACGACCTTCCGGTCAAATAGTTATCAAAATTCTATTGATTCAAATTCTTTCTTTCGAATTTTCGCTCCACTGTGACCTAAACCGCCAAGGTTCCCATTTTCAGCTGTCGAGAAAAGTCAGACGCCTGATTAAAAAAAAAGAAACACTAATGAACGAATTACAAAATCCTTTTTTTGGGCCAGTTTAAAGCATCAAGTTCGTTTTGCCTTTTAACGACGTTTGATATCACATAAAGATACATACCCAAGCTCTTCTGCAATGTAACTTAACTCATCTTTGCAGTTGTCGTTGTAAACGCAAATAAATGAAATGGATTTTTTAAAGTTAGAACTCAAGATTTAAAAAAAAATGAAAGGAACAATTAATGTGTAATAAATATATATAAAAGCTATGAAACACTTCCCTTGTTTAATAATAAGACTGGTAGAAAATATGGTTAAAGTCAAATAAATATTTTCTGTTCCACCAGTAATTGGGCAGCTGCGCTACCATATTGTTTTACAGGAAAATGTTGTAATGCGCGGCGTGTATGCGCTGATTTGTGTAGACATGAGAAGAAGAAGAGAAATTAAACAAAAGATTCCTTATTAATCTTTTGTCATGGGTGACTATCGTATTAGTGTAAAATATAAAACTCTACGCCGCTCGGCTGTTCACCGCCAAGACTATCACTCTTTAGCTGCCAAAGTGGATTCGGCAGAGAGTGTCTCTATCTAATTTAAAGAAATCAATGAGTTATTCTTTTTTTTAGTTCGTAAGGTGCGAAGACAAACTCGGCTAGAACTTACTAAATTTAATTCAATTTTTATTGGAAGTAATTATACTTAAATACTAAAATTTTAGCTTAAGATTGTTTATAAATATTCGTTTGCTTAAATTATAACATGCTGACTTCAACATTTATTGTATATAGGGCGCTTGCTGTAATGTCATGCATCAGCGAAAATGCAATTCAGCATTCTTGCGAACGTGACACATGTTTAGCTTATATTAACTTTCTTAGACACGCTACGCTATGCACTCTACAATGACAACAAAACCGTATGGTTTTAGTACCAAAAATACAGAAATCGACGTAAACATAAATAATAAATTTATAAAAAATAACAATTTTAATAATAGTTAATCTACATAATATAAACATAAACTAGATAAATGCTCTGAAAATTTAAAACCAACCATCATCGATCCTTTTTGTGCTTTTCTTTTTTGTTTTATTTGGATGTTAATGCAAAACCATATAATTTATGATTTTCCATAAAGTTTTGTAAAAAGTCGGCAAAATTGGAGACCAAGCTCGAAAATAGGAATAACGCTTCATTGCCTCAGTTCGTAAGAATTTCAGTAAAAATATTGCAATTAAACTTGGCAACGTAAAGTACAGCTTATTTTCTGGTTAGAATTAATAATGCCATTGGTGGCATTTTACATAGTTATCCGTTTTATATGGGTTATAAAATTTACAAATAATTTGAAAAAACAATATTTGCAAAATCTTACAAACAACAGCTCTTTCAATAAATTTTAATTTTATTTTGGTTAATTAAACAAAATTGCATTCCATTAAACCTAATTGAATATTCTGGGCCAAACATTGTTAAAGCTTAAATTTGCGTAGCTAAAAATACTAAATATTTCTTCTGGCTATCTTCTAAAAATTCATTTAGTCTGGTTAATATTGTTTTAAATGAATATATGACTTTAAATTCTTCTTAGTTATGCATACTTTTTTCTAGTGTAAAGTTCAAAAACATATTACTTAAATAAATCTTTATGTTTGTTTAGAGTTTAACAAAGAATACCTGCCGCGATACATTTAAAGGTAAAACCTTTCAGATATCGAATCGCTGCGACAAGTGCTATAACCTTGCTAGTAAGCAGCTACAAAATTATTTTTTTATTAACCAATCAAATTGGAAAATATCCGTTATTTTGATTAACGAAAAAAAATATTCTGCTATGAGAGAGAAATGAACAAAGTATGAACTCTTCTAGGTTTTATAAAAAATGACAACGAATAGTTGATTGAAATATTTTTACCGCGTTGAAAAGATTTAGAATTTTCCTTCGAACTTTCAGGGTATCGACCTTCTACAGTTTGTGTGTAACGGCAGTGATCGTAATTTTTCTTATGTAGTCTATATTCTCCTGATAAATATAGTCAAATTCACCAAATATCGCAAATGATAAGCTTTTTTTATTTTGATGACCACATAAGCATGCAAAATAACTTAACTTAGAATTGACAACTATAGACTTCGTTAACAACGTTAGAGCCCGTATCGCATTGTTTACGGTGATTAGCAAAGTTACCACGTAAACATGACATTTGCTTTTAAACATTTGAGAATACTTGATGAAACGTTAAATGACAAAAATAGTTGTTTTTCCAAATCCAATGCCTTTCTGACATTTTAAAATGGATAGTTCTTATGAACCTCTGAATGTTTCAAAAATATATTAAGCATTTATATTATAACAAAGAGTGTCAAATGCACCGTTGTTTTGCCTAGTATAACGTGTAGCCTAATAAAAACTAAACAAGTTCATTACAAACTCTCGGTTATGTTGCATATTGGTAAGTATTCCCTGCAATAAACTAGGGTAAATAATTAACAGAATGTTTTCTACTTATTACAACGTTTGAAATCTAGTTAAAAGGTTTTGTAAGTATGTAATCAGAACTTAAAAAATCCGTACCATTTTTATTTCTTTGCTAAGCGAACGTTCAACACATAACAGCCGTTTTTTCTGTTATGTAACACTTTGTTTTTGCGAAACTCGAAAAGCATTTGTCCCGTGAGTGTACACTTTCATCGTAAGTAAAGCAATTTCGGAAAAACATTCTTTTTATCTTTAGCCAAAGTTTTCAGTTCCTAATTTTCTGTGGGAAGATCTGTTAAACTTAAGTTCCTTATCGATCAGGGAAGGTTTGCGCCAAATATCAGCTTCTTATTTCCATTTTTACGACTGTGCCAATTCGACAAAACTATAAGCCAAAGTGACGCATTCTGATAGAAATACATATATAAAAAACGTCGCTAATTCTAAGCATAGTAGAGGAAAACGTGAACAATGCATTAAATTAGTTGAATCATTTTCTATAAATCTCGACAAAGTGCCATTATCCCTTTTACAAGGTATTTCCCTATAGTATTCTGTTTCTACCACTCCTTTATGAATATGTTCATGAATTTAAATATATGTAATATTCAAAATTGCCATATAAATTGATCCTAATTTTTTTTACTATCTAGTAGAAATTTGATTGATTAATTCCATAACTCGTCGAAACAATTAAAACGCGTTATAAAGTCGAACGCTCCCTTTTGTAAAATCTCTTATATTAAGTCATGTGAAAGTTATATTACCTTTCGATAAGCATCGCTTAATATTTTCTAAGAAAATTCTATTTTGCGGCAACGCTGTATAGGTGTTGGCCGAAATGTCAAATTAAGTTTTGCTCGTTGTTGTGTGTAATCGAAGAAATTGTGGAAAAATTTGTGTGGCCTGTAATCGAGTATAGGTTATTTGGAATGTCTGCAAAATTTATTAAATTGAATGCGTAAATAATTTTCGTGAAACCCGAAAATTGAAGAAGTAAGTGTTTTTCAACGATAAAAGTGAAAAAAGATTCAATTTCGATATAAGCTTGTACATACGCACATATAAAGTAGACAAAAAAGCAAAATGACTTTGCTGTTGCTCTGCAAAATAAAGCAGCGAAAATACTAATGAACGACATTGATTTTCTTTTTTCATATGCTGTCTCCGTTTATCATATGCGTTTATGTATTCTCGTTTTGCGTTTGTGCGGCAACTATATGTGCTAATACGTATATATCTGTCTACTTTGTTTCGTTAAATTGCTCCTGGTTTGTTCTGTCGTTTGTTTCGTCATATTAATCAAGTTTTCCCCATCGGTGGTGCAAATTGCAATTTTGGTGTACCAAAAAAGTAAAGGACGGGAAAACGAAGGCAGTGAAAAAATCGTACCGCGGTGGAAAAGTTGGAAAAGAACCTAAATAATTATTTTTTGCTACACCAACACAACAATTTTATATTCTTTTCAAAAAACTAAAAAACTTATCGCACAATTTGTTTAAAGAAGCACAAATAAGAATTCACCCCCCTTGAGGAGGGCAAGAACGATCAAACTTAAACGGAACTAAAGGGAAAATATATTGAAAAGAGGCAAGCAGGAAGTATATATACATATATGCATGCATATATATATATATATATATATATATATATATATACACACTTGATTGAACAGCGGAAAACAGTGTAGAAGATATCCAGACAACGTTAAAGAAAAAAGCAGATTTGTATCAGATTTTCGAATTATTACTTTTCCGCAGAACTGCAAAAATACGTTAAGCTTCCAGGAAATTAGAAAATTTCTTGCGATTAGAAAAGTGTGGACAAGTTTTCAAAAGCTTTTGTGAAAGATAAAAGGTAAGAAAGATCTTTGTTGAAAGGCAGGGGCCGCAGCCGCACCTAAAATGTTTTTATGTTTTTTAATTTCCTTCACTGAATGACTTCTGAAACTACACATTATAAGCAGCAGATATAGGGATTTTCAACTCTAATCAACAGCGCATATTAATAGTAATTTCCCTGGAATTGCAACATTTGTAGATACATTCGCCCACAATGAATGAGCTGGATAGTCTGAGACAAGAAGCTGAGTCACTTAAGAATGCGATACGCGATGCCCGCAAGGCGGCCTGCGACACAAGTTTGGTACAGGCAGCCGCCTCACTAGAGCCGATCGGTCGTATACAAATGCGGACAAGACGAACATTGCGCGGTCATTTGGCAAAAATTTATGCCATGCATTGGGGTAATGATTCTCGTAATTTAGTATCAGCTTCTCAGGATGGCAAATTAATCGTTTGGGACTCGCACACCACTAATAAAGTGCATGCCATACCGTTGCGTTCATCGTGGGTAATGACGTGCGCATACGCTCCGTCAGGCAGTTACGTCGCGTGCGGTGGCCTGGATAACATGTGTTCAATTTATAATCTGAAGACCCGCGAAGGGAATGTGCGCGTTTCCCGCGAGCTACCTGGGCATGGTGGCTATTTGTCATGCTGCCGTTTTCTAGACGATAATCAAATCGTTACTAGCTCTGGCGATATGACCTGTGGATTATGGGACATAGAGACGGGCCAGCAAGTAACCTCCTTCCTGGGACATACAGGTGATGTCATGGCGCTATCTTTAGCACCTGGGTGTCAGACCTTTGTTTCTGGAGCATGCGATGCATCAGCTAAACTATGGGACATCCGAGAAGGCGTATGCAAACAGACTTTCCCTGGTCACGAGTCTGATATAAATGCGGTGACATTTTTCCCTAACGGCCAAGCTTTTGCCACCGGTTCAGATGACGCAACATGTCGTTTATTTGATATACGTGCCGATCAGGAACTAGCAATGTACTCACATGATAATATTATATGCGGCATTACATCTGTAGCGTTTTCCAAGAGTGGCCGCTTATTGCTTGCCGGCTATGACGATTTTAATTGCAATGTTTGGGACACAATGAAAGCGGAACGCTCCGGTATATTGGCCGGACATGACAATCGTGTTTCTTGTCTGGGTGTCACTGAAAATGGCATGGCTGTGGCAACGGGTTCGTGGGACTCCTTCTTACGTGTGTGGAACTAAGCAAAACCGAGTAGCCACTCTCTCCTTTATATCTATCCGACTTAAGTGAATAGAAAACAGAAAAAAAAAAACAAGCCTCAGTACTATTACATACAAAAAACATGATGTGCTTATAGCGATGCAGACGAGTGGATGCAAATATACGGATAACTGCGAGGCCCATGTTGTGTTTTCGGATTTTTTGTTTTTATATTTTCTTTGTTGGCTTAGTTATTTGTTTTTTATGTTCCATAAAGTGGCGAAGTGGTATTTCCCACTTATTTTATTTTTTTATAATTTCTTTACTTTAAGTCGCCTATCGCAAGCATCCATTCATATACTCATCTACCGTCTGCTGCTGAACGTCAAAAAAGTCAACATAACACTCAACACGCACAAAAACACACGCACATTGATTCACACAGTCACACACGCACACAACACACACAAAACATAAATATAAATACAAATAGTTTACAATTAAAACTAAACTTACATCTAAAAAATTTATTTATAACTGAAACACACACACTTACACCTACACACGTCTAAAATCATTTAAACATATACATACGAAAATATAAAAGTAAGTTATAGGAAGTAAAAGTTAAAACAGAAAAACTAAAATTATACTTAAAAAATAGGAAAAAAAATCATTTCATGTCGTTCGTCTAAAGTCCACCAAATCTCATATATAAAAAAAGTAAGTTCATATATCAAATGTTCTCTCCTCTCAAAGCGTGAACCACCAAAAAGTAACAAGTTTAACAAAGTTTATTATAATCGAACACCTCCCAACTAAGAAGAAGGAAGAAACCCGCAGTTATAATCATCAATATCTAGCACAGAGACTATATCGTATAAGATGAAGAGATAATGTAACAGAACAGAACCAATTCACAAGCGTAAACGACTAAGAAAAAAAAGCATTTACAAAAACACAGCAAGTTATTCATAACAGAAATAATAATAATAAAAAAAAAAAAAAAACTGAGCAAAATACACATTATTGAATAACAATAAAAAATAAGCAGGAAAAGTGAAATAATTTTTTAAACTATTATATTATAAATTTAAAAGTAAAAACTACACACATACACATCAACAAATTAAGAAACCAAATTTCGTATTTAAGTTTTTAATTTCCGAATCAATAAAAATTTTAAAAAAAATATGAAAACACAAACCTAAAGTAATTTTATATACATATGAGCACAAATCCATATTAAACAGAAAAGTCAAACTAAAATTTAAACTATCCAATCTACAAAGTAAACAAATTTAGTATTATCTAAGATAAAAATTAATTAATAAATAATTTTGAAAGAAGAAAGAATAACAAGATGCGCATAACCACACAAGTTATTATAGTTTTTTGTCTCTACGTTTATTTTTTTGACTTTTTTCCTAAGATAAGATATATATATAAATTGCATCATCTCACGCATATATACATCATAAAAAATTGTTTTCCCGACTTAACTTTGTATAGATGTATATATTATGTATGCCGTGATATGACTACACGCCAGACATATATGTATCATGCTAATAATTTATTCAAGTTGTAATCGTTTCGCTCAATTCAAATTCTTGTCAACTCGATAAATTGAAGCGCTTTTCTGAACCGTAACCTAAAGGCAGTCAGTAGAAAGATTGAAATTGTATTAGCCAATTGGCTTCTAAAAAAACAGGAAATGTATTTTGCTTCAACAAAAAAAAGCGAGAGGACAAACTTAAATCTTCGCAATTTATTTTTAAAGCTTTTTCGAAATTTTTAACTCTTATTATTAGCTCCAAAAATTCAAAATTGTAGCAACAAGTCCAGAATTATTCAATATTGTTTTTTATACAATATAATTGTAAAGACAAGAGTAAATAAAATGCTTACGGCCAAGTGAAAAATTAACTTTTCTTTAGCGAGTTTGAAATGGTTATAATTATTTATTGCATTTGCTCTAAACATTTCGTGGTCATAGCAAAGGTTTATCACTTCGTTTTTTCCGTCATTCATAAGAGCGTTCGGCCAATTAAATAATTTTTATCTATTCATGCGTTAGCCAAAAGTGAAGTTGTTGCTAATCACCCCTCCATTAAACGAATAGTAATAAAGAAAAATCTTTGGTTTTTGATATTAAAATGTCAAGATTGTCTTAAACGAATTACTTGTTACTTTCATTAATATTAAGTATGTCACAGTAACATAATTCCTTTTTAGTTAATTTACGGCTTGCTGTGATTTGTAAATGTAGTCCATTATAAAAATTTATCAAAAAAAATTGCAGATTTATATTGAACAACTTTTTTTCTAATATCAATCTAAACTATATAACTCATATTTACTACTATCAAAAGAATTGTTTTAACTGTGGTTTCGTTTGTTGGCATACTATTTAAATTTTCTTTTAATCTATACAATATTGCGTACATATAGGTTTTTGTATGTACATATACTCACAATTTTTGCACAAAAACGAAACAAAAAATAAATAAATAAATAAAACTAAAAGACAAACAGAAATTAGCGCCTCATATAGGTAAAAAAAGAAGAAAAAAAACCGCACACAAATCTAAACAGATAACTTTCCTATCCTCTCTATCTCGCAATCTATCTATCTCTTTCTCACACACTTTCCGTTTCTCTTCTTTTAATCTCGTAATAACGAGTTGAAAAATTTCTTAATAATAATTTGCATTTAAAACTTATATTTTAATATAAACGGTATCTTGAAATGAGCTGACGTTTGAATATTTTAATAAAACTTACTTTTATTTGATAATTTAATAATCATTTTGCTTTATTAGAACTAGAGGCAGAGAGGTTATGTGTCAGAGAAAACGACTGGTCTTTGTTCACTCAAATTTAAGAATTTTATTATATTTTTTCACATTTGGATACTCTATATATTTGAACAATAAAGTTAATTATAATTAGTATGATCAGTATATACGACACGTGTGTGTGTGCCTATTCATAGAAGCTGATAAAAAACAAATATTATTTTTTATGTTAAAATATATTTATATCATGTCTTATTTACAGACTTCTATAATTTTATCTAGTTTATTACCCACATAATTGTATTTTATAACCTGTTGAATTGTAACTTTTTTGTGTTTTGTTTTAGGAAATTACGTCTTAGTTAAAACTGTTTAAAATCTATTTCCCCGGTTTTATATCCACTATCGAAGGAATGTGAGATAGTTTCATCATTCCTATTGTAACATCTAGAAATGAATATGCGACATCAGCTTAAAATCCCAAATTAGTCTTGAGCTTTAAAAAGCCTCAATGATTCGAATTGAAAGCTAAACCATAGCATCTTCACATTCCTAGTTCCATAATATCCACGCATTTGGATTGCAAATGGCTGGAATCCCAAGCACGCCGGAAAAAAACTTCCAATTATGTCAATTACAACCCAAATCGGTGCTAGGAAAAAATTATTTCAATTTAACTAACACGCTTAGATATAAAAAAAGAAATACGAAATTTATATCTATGAATATGGTGGTGGATATCTAATGTCCGCTTTGATGCGAATTAAATTCTTATTTGTCCTTTTCTTTTATCGGTCGTTATGATTTATTAAATTGTCCGATTTAGTGTTGGAGCATTTACGTAGGCTTAAATGTACTTACCCCTTTGTCATATATTAGTGCATAAATTATTTAAACAGAAAACAAAACAAAAAAATTGACCGGCGTTGTAACCACTTTACCAAGCCAATTTTAAAACTGAAAATCTATGCAACGTTTATTAGCATACCGAAAAGTAAAGAAAAAAAGGAAGAATAAAAAGGTCTCAAATAATGATTGCTCCGGAACTGTGACTGAATTGCTACATCAGCACGAACGCAAACACATGTCCGACCCATTCATCACCCTGTTATCTATAACAAACATCTTAAATCAATCTAAAAAAAAAGAAAACAAAAAGTTGTTTGAATGCATGCAACCCACTGGAATTACTCATACATTGTGTTATACAAGTAAAAAATAAGTTCGTACATACGTATAACACGATACATCGAGGATGACATAGGCATGAACAAAGTAAACAAATATTTATATATACTGGATATCTAAGAGGAAACAAATATTTTCAACTGAATGAAAACTAAAGAAAAAAAGCAAACAAAGAATAATAAAAATAAGTAAAGATTAAAAAACAATGATACATCTTAACTCATATTTAAATCTGTAATTATAAAAATTAAAATAAATTTAAATAAAAATACATGGCTTAGTTAGTGTAAAACATTCAATGGTCTAATACGTATGATGTTGGTTTTTGCTAATGTTAACATTTCCGTCTAACAGCAAACTTCTCTCTCTATCGTATTTTCCGATATATTGTATATCTGGCGATATCAATCGGAAGGCGTCAGAAAGAAAGTAACTAAGCAGTCGATCAGTGGTGCCAGTTGTAGTCAGCGCATCATAACTCATTAGATTTGCTGAATGTGTTTAACTCATCGAGATATGCGTGTCAACTTTCATTCATCATTAGTTCGAAATTCAACAAAATTGGATGAAGTCTCCGTCCACAATTAGGGAACACAATTACGAACTAGAAGGAACTTCTTGCTTGAGAGCACTCTTGTTATAGTAATCGTCGTTTTCTTCAACATGGATTGTAGATGAAAAAGGTTATTCGTTAGCAACATTTAAATTTAACTCAAATTTTCCCAAATTCGCTGCTTAATGGCATAGCCAAAATCGAAAAATTTGAAAATTATTGTTGCTGATTTATTTGAGTGATTCCCGATATTTTTTTATTTAAAATATATACATTGAAACATAAGAACTTAAAAGGAGCTTTCGGTGATCGGAAAGGTGATCGAATATACATATGTGCAATAATATGTTATTCAAATATTCAAATTTTTTTTTTTTGAAAAATAATTCAAAATGGCAACATTCTCACGTAGCATGATTATTCTGGATGAGCGGCTCAGGACATAATTAACGCAAATTGAAAAAAGCATTCTGTCCACATGTCTAGATAGGGTTTTTTAAGAATATTGATTTACGATTGACACCACATTTTTTGACCAAAAGAAAGGCAATCTTTTATCAATAAAAATGTTCAAATTAACACTAAACGTAACATGCGCGGTCAAATAACCGTTTTTAAAATTTTGTTTAAAATTTCTCGCATTCAACGTTATTGTATCATCATGTAGCTTATTGACTTTTCGTAAAATATACATACATCGAAAAGCGGGGAACGAGTATTTATTGTAGCATCAGAAAAATATTTTGTTTACTTTTTTTGTACTTTACTAAGATACATACGTTTTTTTGAAACGGTCATTTGACCGCTCATGGTAGGATGAAATGTCGGTACGTTTAGTGTTAAATTATTGAAAATATTCCAAGTGTGTCTGTAGGTAATATCATTTCAATTATATTTTGAAAAATGCGAAGGGTTAGAATAAAAATTGTGAGAGGTGTGTTGCAAGGCGTTGTGAATAATCGTGATTTTGTAGAAAAAGAGGATTTGAAGTTTTGTAATGTGTTATAGATACATGTTTGTCAATTTTTTTATTTAATTATTTTCATTAGTCTGTAATTACAGGACGTTGAAGTGTTTACATATTCTTTGTGATTCCCATTCCACCACGATTGTTTGCATGAATGTACCCCTTTTAGCTGCATCTGTAAAAGACGGAATCGAATGCGTTCCACTCTGCGAAGTAAGGAAGGCGGTAAAACAAAGAACTACTCCTATAGCCGAATCCATTTTACAATCTTCATAAAACACTTTCAATTTCTTGGCAGAAGTACTGCTTCCTTTCAGATCGATCTCGAAGTTATATCAGTGCAATGGTAATCTTAATGAAGCTACAGTGTTATGGTTTGAACATATTTTTAAAGACATTTTCTGAAGACATCCGTTAGCTCATCAGAGAAGGTAATATGTTGGTCTCTAACTTCCCAGCAGGGAGGTGATACGGTAATGTGGGCAGCACGTAATGAATTCTTCTCTTCTGTATATTCTAGAAGATTTAAAGCATCTATTAAACTAATAAAAAAATGTATTGTGAAAAACTTACAGTGGTTTTCCCTCTTAAAAAGCAAAAAATCAATAATATCTTTTTAACAGTTTTTTCGCTTATATTTCTTGTGCTTTATTTAAAACAAATGATACGAACACCTTAACAGGTGACCATTTTGATTTCGTTTAGATTTTCGTAGTAAATTAGTTATTGCTGCAATTAACCGGAAATAGTACCAGTGTTGTTTGAGATCCCAAATTGACGAGTATTTTACCTCAGTCTTGGTGTTTACTTTATATCTGCTGGCTGAGAAATAATGTAACTATTCAATTTTCCTTGCGATAATATCTTTTTTGTGTGATGTTTTTGGTCATTTTTTGCATTTTTAGTAATATTGCTTTAACATTTTAGATCGGTAGTCGTTGCAAGTGGTAAGTTGCAAATTTTTTTCTGGTTTGGAAACAAATCACATCTGTTTTTATAATTCCTTTATGATAATTTCATATCTCGATTTTTGCAATTGTCAATATTTGAAAAATGCAGAACTGTACGAATTTTGAACCCTTACACTGATTTGGAATGTACATGCCTGTGGATCTTCGATGGCGATTTCAACGCATAAATAATTACTCTGTGTTTATTTAATTGGGACGAGTGCTTTTGGGTGGGCATCTTTCATAGCTCTTTTTGGCTGGTTCAGGTGACATAAGAATATCAACGAAAGATATACATAGGTAAATCGACTCACGATTTTTATTTAAGCATGTATATGTTAACTATAAGCCAATGAGTATTTCATTTTATTTTGTGGGAGAAGAATATTAACGGGACCGTATACCCCGACGACAGATATGTAAAAATTTATTCATATTAAAATAAATCCATTAGGAGCCACAATGAGGCGTCGTGTTCATTTTTGGTTTAAAAACTCTCGAATGGTAAACACAATGGGCAGCCACGCTACCAAACTGTTTTAAAAGAAAAAGCAATCAAAAACATATGGTTTTAGAAAAAAAAATTTCAAATTATTATAGAAGATAAAGAAGATTGATTAGATTTATGCAGATATATATTTTAGATTAATTTTTGTGTATTATTTGGAAACTACCATTTTTGATAATACAAACAACAAAGTTATGAATATATTTCAATTTTAATATACACGGTGTTTATTATTTGTTTCTCATTTCTTACAAAATAATGCACAGTAAAATCGAAATCGCGAATCAAAAAAAAGTACATTATTGTAACGGGGCTGACAGAATGAGGCGTTATTCCTTTTTTTGGGGTTGAAATTTTTTTTATAAAATTGTTGCTTACGTTTACGTTGGTTTCCTTATTTTTGGTTCTAAATCTATATCTTTTTGTTTGCATTTTCTTGTAAAACAATATGGTAGCGCGGCTGGCCATTGTATTCATATAGGATTTTTAGCCCGAAAATTAAAATGACGCCTCATTGACGTCTGCCCACTAAGGCAAACGCAAATTAGATAAGTAATTTATAAATTTAAAATAAATTGTCTTCGTTTTTTTCTTGTGCGCTGTTTTTCTTTTGCTTTATTATTTATACGTATACGTGCAAAGCCTTACGATTTTTCAACTACCATAAATTTTTGTAAAAAGTCAGCAAAATTTAAGTTCCAATCCAAAAATTATAACGCGTCATAATGTCAGCCAATTTATCCAAAATTGCTTTCAATTTGAAATGAAACTTCTACTTTTGTAGTACATTACGATAATGCTGACATATACATTAGTATTTATTTTTGGTTAAGTATTACTTTTGGTGAAGTGTATTCATATGGTAGTACTAATTTTGATGATATGCTTACGTGTATCTGACTTTTGCTCTTGAACAATGTAAATAAGTTTTACTGAAACAATATGGTTACACAGAATATATCTGGCAACATAGTTTTAATCGAGAATCGCGCTTTTTTCTGATATTTTAAGAAATTTTTTCTTTATGTTTTTACATAAACCTACAAAGTAAAGCGACATAAATCGTAAAAATTATTGCCAATTTTTCAATTAACGAGTCATTAAAAAGCCTAATCATTTACTTGTAAACAATGTCTCATTCTACCAAAATTGGTGGCCAGTCAAATAAGAAAAATAGGGAAAGTTGTGAAAGCACCAGTGAGAAAAAATTAGTACAGGCAAGATTACCATTTAAAGTGCTAGTTGATAGGCCTTCAACATCAACCGAACTGAAAGCAGCTGCTTCCTTAACAATAACAGAAATGGAAAATGATACAATTCTTACGGACGCAAGCAAACGTAGGCTTTCTTTTGAATCGGATATCGAGGTATACGGTACAACGAGCAATCATGAGCATAACTTGAGCAAAGAAAACGTGAACATGGGTTCGACAAGTAAAAGGAGTAAGACTTTGATTATCAAAAGTGAAGAAGTACTGCCAATTGAAGGCAGCCAGGAAAACTTATCATTGATATCTAATAAAAAAAGTGTTCCGATTCGTACTCCTAAAGGGCATAGCAGTAAAAAACGCGTTAATGTTACGACACCACAATCAGTTAAAGTTCAGATGGGCAAAAGCAATAGTTCTCCAAAACTGCAAATTAAATTACTACTTAGTGGTGGTAAAAAAAGTAAAAAAAGGAAATTAAAAACACGCCTCGAAGGTAGCAGTAAATCTGAAGCAAATGACGAAATTGAAGTAGTTTCAGGTTTGAATCCTTCGAAAAAAGCTAAAATAGATATGGAAGAGGACACGTTTCTTAAAACTGAAACTGAATTAAAAGTAAATAAACTATGTAATACTATACGATAGGTTTGAGATTTTTTAATTGATTTTTAGGAGGAGGTTATCGAATTGGATTCTGAATATGAAGATTTGAATAAGGATAAGGAGGATTCTGAAAACGTTGAAGCGGATGATGAAAGAGACGATGCTGATGTCAGTCAAAATGGAAAAGTACTTATATGTGTAAACGAGGAAAAAGCAAAAGTAGAATCACTTAATAGCGTTGCAGTGTTAGAGGATTTTGTTGGGATTTCTACTAATATTATAAATAAAAATAAAGGCTTAACTACCAAACAAAAGAGACTAGTGGAGCAGCGTCGCAAAGCCCGTGAAGAAAAGGAACGCAAATTGCAAGATGCGAAAAGACGAAAACAAGAGGAAAAAGACGAGAAAGAGCAAAAAAAACGAAAGGAGCGCGAAGAGAAAGAGGAGCAGAAACGTAAAGAACGCGATGAGAAGGAACAAAGACGTTTAGCTGATTTAAATGCGAAGAATGAAGAAAAACGTAAACGTAACGAAGCCAAAGAAGAGGAACTTCGTAAGAAGGAAGAGGAACGCAAACGTAAAGAGCAGGAAAAGGAAGAAGCCGAACTTAAAAAGAAGAAAGCAGCCGAAGCCTTTACAAAATTCTTTCTCCCTAAGGCAGCCATCAGTAATCCTGGCACTTCTTTAACATATTCAGATAATAATATAGTTGAAATCTTGGCATTTCAACCATTTGAAATTAAGGGCGATATGAAATTGGCGCCGGTTTTTCGGAAAATTCTTACTACAGAATCTCGTGAAAAGCTTGATTCTCTGCAGAGAACAAAGGAATTCTTGTCTGAAGATCGATTATATTTGGCCACGTTGCGTTCGGGTGAAGTATTACCTAGTAAGTGGATTCGAGAGCCTGTAGAGACAGATGATGATTTCATAATCGTAGGCAAGTGTTTCTTTGTTTAAATACAATCTTCAATTAGTCGTAAATTTATGTCTTGGCTTCATTTAGAAGATGAACTTGATAAAGTGGGTGAAGCAATTATTGAGGAAGGTGTTATGCATGGGCGAGAACGCATGCGAGCTAAATTTTATAAATTTCATGATAATCGAAGGCCACCTTATTATGGAACGTGGCGCAAGAAATCAACAGTTGTGAAACCCCGCAGGCCATTTGCTGAAGATAAGGTACTAATTTTTTTCCCCCCTAGTTTTTAGTAACATTAACAATGTTATAGAAAATCTTTGATTACGAAGCGGACTCAGATGATGAGTGGGAAGAAGAAGAACCCGGTGAGTCTTTGGACGGCAGCGAGGATGAAAAAGACCGAGAATCCGAGGATGATGACTATGAGGTAGATAATAAATGGTTTGTACCGCACGGACACTTAAGCGAGGAGGAAATGCAAAATGAGGATGAATGGATGGCGGACGACGATAATACACGACAAGCGCAAAAATTTAAACTGCAATTGCTTCAGCAGGAATTTTCTCAGCAAATGAAAAAGAAAACTGAGAAAATTAAGCCTCGACTCATTGGTTGCGTATGGGTCGACGAGAATGGCAATCAACCGGAGAATTGTGTAAAAATAATTTGGGATAGCCTGCAAGTACGGACCATGTTATGCAGTGAACCGATTGTAATTGAAGCCCAACAGTCGGAAATAGAGCGCTCAGAGCCTTTGTCGCCCATGGCTGTTACAGTTGAAAAGTTAAAACCAATATCTCTCTCAGAAGAAATGGTAAAAAGTTTGGCTCGTTTAATACATGGCAACAAACATTCGAAAAATTTTCTCATTAATGAATACATAGCTTATGTTGAGAGGACGGAAGAGGCGGTCAAAAACGGTGATGTACGTAAACCGCTAAAATCTATGGTACGAGACAAAATCGACGAAATTGCTGTGTGGAAAGCTATGGAAACTATTGAAAGCACTCAGGATTCAGTTTCAGCGAACAATAATAATAGTTATAAGAAAAATAAAAAGAAAAAAATCAAAAAGAAACTTTGTTGGGTAGTAGCGCAAGCGGTTTTAGATAAAATGGGTCTACAGCACTTGGACTTAAAAAATGGCTGGAATTATACCCTAGTACCTAAATTAAAAAATACGCATGGAACAGAGACGATTACCCAACTAAATGAAAGTACATTTTTGCAGGATGGTAACAATGAAGACGGCCAAGCCAGACATGGCAAACATCAACCTGTCCAAGTAAAGCTCAAAGATCACTCCTTAAAACGAAATGTCGCGGAAAAAATGAAACAGCAAAGCACAGAGAAGAAAAAGATGCCACTACTAATGGCAACGCCAAGAGAGCAAAAAATCTCCACCGCAGCTAAGAATAATTCAATCAGTCAATTTCTGCAAAAACCCACGAATCCCAAGCCATCGAATAAATTGAACACAATGCTAACATCCGATTCTTTAGATAAGAGTGCCAAGATGGTGGTCCTGGATTAGAAAGTGAAAATTAGAAAAACAGATTTGGCGCTTAGATTAGGCGCACGATTTTGCACTTTGCCTTTATATTCTACTTCGAAAGTCCTTATTCCTCGAAAGAAATTTTATATATAACTATCGAAAAATTAAAATGATTGCAATGTTGGTCTACTAGCAAAACCCTTTCATTTTTCTCTTGGTAAGAAACGCGTGCACAGTTTTATTCGTGTTACAGATCGTCAATTCTTAGGACAATAAGAAAAATTTTTTAACATTTTCTGCAATTTGAAGATAAGTTAGTTGAAAACATAAGATCTAAGTAAAGTACTAAAAAAGCAAATAAGTAATACAATTTCCGGAAACCAAAATTTTTAGGACGCTTATACCAAAATAAGCGACGTAGTTGTTAACTAATTTTTTCTGTATGAGAGATGGGCTCGGGTTAGGATAAAGTCTAATCCAGGTTTTCGATCATTTATGCAACATTCAGAATTTTGTCATAGCCTAAATGAGTCGAATTAAATGCTTTGTATGTTGTGCCGCACTCTGCTGCAGGAAGTAGAATGACCTTATGACTAATGAATACCAGAAGCTTACTCATATTGAAGATTTCGGAAATGATTTTAAAAAGTTTTGACACGTTAACTAGTAAAAGTAGAGAATTAAGCAGATAGTGCAAATTTTCAAAATTGAAGCTTGTGACAATGTCATAAAAAAAGTGAAAGTAGGACAAAAATCAGTCAGGAGATGAGAATGTCTATTTTTATAAAAGAAGTCAACCATTTCCGAGAACACCCACGCGGGCACCAAAACAATCACTAACACCCTTAAGTAGAAACGTAAGAATTACGCGATGCGTTATGGCGCATGACGCAAAATCTGTTGAACGCAGCACTTGCTTACGCTTAAAGGAAAAACAGATCTGGGATAGCTGAGAGTTAGCTTTCGATTTAGTATTCAACCGTTTCTGCCAAACCGCTGGGGGATAATCAGGTAAGCAGGCGACTATCGACGTGATTATCGCCTTGTTTTTTTGTGGGAGATAATTGATTACCGCCAAGAGGTTAATCGTGTACAATTGTTCCCAACTTTACAATGATTTTTCTCAAATTCTCCATTACAATGCATTAATAACAGAGAGGTGCAAAAAATGAGAGCAAATGGAAATTTTTGGTTTGTATAAGCAAACCACATATAGTAAACAATAAAAAGTATGCAAACGATGTGAAGAGAAAATTATGTAGAATTTGCGTCAACCCATAAAATAATAAATGAATTTGAACGTTAAAGTGATGATAATCGATTCGGAGTATCCACTATCACCTGCAAAAAAAAATTAGAAAGATGTAGCTTTTTTTACTGCTCACCTAGCAGGCAAGCGTTGCTATAATGACCGGTCCAATGATATTCCAGGTAAAAGTGTTTCATCGGAGTGATTCCTCACATGCGAACCTTGGCAATATCCGGGAAGTTTAAAATTAAGTGCCTTGACTTTCATTTCATGCTCGTAAACCTACAAAGAAATGTTTATGTTTATGTAAATAAAAATAAGTCGCTAATACGCAAGTATTCAAATTACTTACCACCATTTCGGTAAGGCTGAATTTTCCTTTCGAATTAATGAAAATTTCTTCATTTTCGCCGTGTTTGAAGAGCGTGTGTTCCATCAACACATCTAGTCATTGTAATAAACACTAAAAATATTGCAAAGGTCGTTTCTGGTAAAACATCATGTTCAATTACTTACTGCCTGGTATACCAAATTTCTGGTAAAGCCACACATTTGTGTCCTCGTTTACGGTCCATAGGATCCACTCCACACAAAGTGTTGCTTCCAATTCTTTCAACACATCTGATACAATAGCTGCTTACGTAGTTTGTGCAACACTTATTGCTACAAGCCAGCCATTGGTAAGTTTCTGAAGACAAGAACTCTAAAGTCACGGCTAAGCGCAGCAACGGCGACACGCATGTACTACTCATGTCGTCACTCATACTAATTCTTACCATACAACAATATAACCTATATTTTTATGTCGTTTGCAAATATTAAAAACAGTTTATTTATTCGTTTCGAGATAAGTTTGGGGAGTCGGAAGCATTTCGCAAAGCCATTCTCGCTCGTCTCGTCGCTTTGCTTGTGCGTCGCGGTTGACATTGTTTTCCTCTCCCATGGACGTGCATAAAAGAAAAGAACGGTATATTGCGCTAGACCTGTATAAGTTGGTTAACATTCTTTAATATACTTCAATATTTAAAAAAAATTGTGCTTAGTTTTATTAAATTTTTTCTGTCTTGTTTTTCATAATTGAAAAATTTAATTTCGCGTGCAGATTTGTGGCAACTTTTTTTGGTTTGTACTCAATACTAATGCAAATTTGTCCGAGTGACAGCAATTTTGTTGTCGTCAGATTTGACATAATTCAGAAGGCGCATTCAGCGACAATCTCTAAAAAATTTGTTTACATGATTAGATTTTATTGGTGACTGTCACCTACTTCATTGTGGCTTGCTTCCATGATAACACTTAGTATTATGTGGTCTTGGCATTTCTACCAGCTGACTGGTTTTGGCGAAAGGAGAAACATGTTTCTGGTTAAAAAGGAATGAACTCTAAACAATAGTTTTTTGTAAATAAGCTAAGAAATAAAACCTAAATCATCAAGAGTTAATTGGCATCCGGCAGAAAGGACTCAACAATAGCAACACCATCATTACCAACAACATGAAGTTAATCACAATTTTTCCAAACAAGACATGAAATTAATTGTGTTTCTATTTTTTCAAGCAAATGTAATCCTTATTAAATAGCTTTTGTTTCTATGAACAATTCTTACAATCACGAATATGCAGAGATGTCGGTGATTATATATATAAATTTTTTCATATTTAACCAATTGAAATTTACCATCTGTGCCTGCCTTGAATTAAGTGGAATAAGATGTAATTGTATGAGTTTAGAAATTTTAGACAGTCTTTTCCAAAAAAAAAAAAAGGATAAAAAGATAGATGAACTGTCTAATAAATTAACATCTCTTTCAACACCGTGGACAGGAGTGAAGCTTTATGAAGAGGCAAAGATGTTGTACGCTGTTAAATGTGGTGAACTCTTGGACGCCAAATTCGACGAAAAGTTAGAAAATTATGTGTAATGGAGACAGGTGGAACACTGCTTTCAAAACTTTCGAGAAATATGATGGTAGTTCAAAGCACTGACAGGCGACAGTTGGAAATAAAATAAAGCATCCGGCGGACGTCGTACTACCATCCTTTAATACAGTATTTAATTTTTCGGCGATTAATAGCCAGGTTAGATTTTACATATGCCGACAAATGACCCATTTATTTGACTGAACAACAGCTGATCACTTTTATATACAGTTCTGAGACTTAATGATGGGGTTGCAATTTCCATTATTAACAAACAAAACGATAATGACATATGATAGGGTGTTAGCATTGTTAGTTAATAAAAACTATAGATAAGATGCACTTCGGGTGTTTAAGTCCGGTTTAAGAAAACCGTGTGTTACGTACATTTTACGTCTAGTCCGACTGATTTGCTGATGTCGTTAGTTTCAGCTCAAGAAGTTGAATACAATTATGATCCTCGTAAGGAGTTTTATGAATAAAAATGAAGACACAAATGCAAGTTTGCTAAATGATTGTAGTAATCGAAGATCCTATCGCCAAAATATCCTTGTTATGCTAAAATCCCCGGATAATATAACTTTCAAAATAAGATGTATGACCAAACCGAATTTACGGATATGGATCCGTCCACTTCTTGCTTTAAACAACCAAGCTATCTCATAACGGCTCTTCTCATTATGGTGGAAATATGAATTGGCTCAGAAATAACAATTTAAGAGCCCTAGAGGAATACTGTCCCGAAATTTTGAAAAATTGATAATATTTTTCAGAAAAATTTGTTCCACCATTAACAGGAAAGAAGCCAATATCACGATACGGTTCTCTTCGTTCTCTTCTTAGTTGAACGAGCTTAGATTGAAGGTGCGATGTCTTATGTAATTTAGCTCGATACTTAAAAAAATTTGTTCTTAAGTAATAGCATTAATGCTATTAAATTTTTTTTTCTTCACAGTTCACAAATTCACACAATTATTTACAAATTTAATTTCGAGCTGAAGGGGTCGGAGCGCACCTCTTCCGTTGCACATGCTAAAATTAGATCAATCGATCTCGAACTAAGGAAATCAAATAGTGTACTAGGCCCTGATCATTTGCTATTGATTAAAATGATTGATTTATTGATTCGATCGAAGTCTAATATACTAGAACTGATACAATAAAATTTTCTATGTAAAAATAAAGTTGACCTACTTATGATGCGTTTTACAGAAATGAGATGCAGCAATATTGAAATGATGCACTGTTTTTTTCTTAGGTTGTATAAAGTTTTAAATTGATTACAAGTAATTAATTTTTAGATCGCACTCAAGCTCGAATTATCAACAGCCTGACTGTTTCTGGAATTTCTAAATAGCGTTGCCAATTCACCACTTGTAAAGCATGGAATTCATTGCTTGTCGAATTCGTTTTATCATGGTTGCGTAGGCAATCATCTACCTTTAACGGGTTCGTAGCTAACGACTAAATCGTAACTAAATCGAGTCTAATTGCTTAGTAACAAAATGACCTGGCATTACGTTCTGCATTCAAATCTTTGAAAGAATGCTTCAGATTTTTAAGAAACGGTTCTTCTAATTGGTGAAAGATCTAAGCTTTCGATTCTGCCGAAGAGGAATTGTATAGTCTTACTAGCCAGTCCACTGTACAACTGCAAATACCATACGCAACACTGCAAATACCATAACTCGTTTGGAAAAATGGAACGCATTTTTGGGTACGTCCATAAATTCTCAAATTTGAAATTTTTATTAAATAATGAGGTGAACGTTGGTCCTTTAATGCCATTTGATCAGCAACATACAGCAGATGAATTTTACAAAAGTAATCTTGAGGCGTGGTTTGCGGGCTGAGAATGAAGAACTTTAGACAAACACGGTGAATGATTTTTTGTGATGATTTCGATTAGGACGATATGTGGCTTTAACAGAATGGTGCAATATGCTATATATTTCCTCACAAAATTGATTTTTTTGGCAGAGAAATTCAAGGATCGTATAATCTTTGGACATACTCCAATAAACCAGGATCTCTCAATGACTCTATTCACCAAGGTTATCCCTGTTATTAGTTAGATAAGAGCGGATTTATGGGGAAAAGTACCAAAAATTGATGCTCCAGGATTTAAATTTCACAGAACTCTAGAGGCCGTCATTTACATATAAACCTTTTTAACTAAAAATGGTACAAACATATATCTACAATAACAAAGAATTTATGTTGATATCTCTTACTCCATAGTTTCTTTTGCAAATTAAAAAAAATATACACATGGTTATGTATATACTATTCAGCTAATGAAGAGCTTTTCGTTGCCTTAGAATTATGCGTTCTGCCATGTAGTTGTGCGTCTCGGCCCGGTGACATTCCATCATGTATACTTAAATCATGCTCTATTGAACTACGTGGTGTTAATTAGTGTATTAGGTTTTTAATCATGCTATCGAAAAAGGTGTTGTGTCTTTGTGTTGGAAGAGAAGCTTTTGTCATTCGACTTCACAAATGTGGGAACATTCGTCGTCGTCGAAATGATGACACTCAACTTGGCAATGACAAATCATGACACTCAACTTGGCAAAGCCAAGAGTGTTTTAACTAAATTATTTGAACGAATTGCTGTTACTATTCAGCAATTAATTTTTACTATCAAATTTTCTATTTCTTCATTTCAGCAAGACCTTCTACGAACCTTTTAGAATTTACTTGTCATATTTTCAAGGATTTTTCCAATGGCCTGTGGACGGGTCTGATTTCGGTAAGATTTTTGACTTTGTTAGCCGTAATATATTGAGCTTTAAACTCCAGGCATCTGGTTTTTGTTTATATTTATTGAAGTGAATAAGTTCTTGTCTTCATAAGAGATCATTCAAGAATCTGTCCAACTCCGTCACCTCTGATGGATTCCCCATCATTTATTTAGTTATGTTTATTCATCCTATACACCACTGATCCTTCGTTAAGGCACCGTTACCGATCTCACACTGTTTTCTACATTTCCTTTGTAATCGCAGTCATATCTTCTTAGATCTGACCTAGGTAATTTGACTATATCGTGCCCACTAAACTTTATGAAATTAAAACTAAAAAATGCAAGAAGCTTTCATATTTGAAAGGGAATTCATTCATTACTGATCGACTCCGAAAAATTAGAAAACGGTTATTTTTTCATGGATTTAGGGATTTTATGCGGTCAAAGACTACGTTTTAAACTGCACCCTGAATTTTTTTAAAATAAAGCTTGGTCAGCGCTAAAATTTATTGAATGGTGGCTTCAAAAGATTGATTATCCCTACGTTGCCGAAAGGCTGTACAAGAGCTCAGTCAGGACAGCATTTGGGGATGCCTCTGTTGTGTGGTCTCCTTCTTACAAGTGCTATATAGATTCGATTGCGTTCGCTCAAAAGCAATTCCTGCTCGTTGTTCTTGGAGTATTTAGGCTGTTATTCGCTTATCCCTTTGCCTCGGTTGCATGCTATAACAGTTATTAGTACTCTTAAAAGCAGAGAATTTTAATAATGACTCCAGTTTAATTTGAACAATCGAACAAAGAAAACTGTTTTAAACTGTTTAATCCGTGATTCGTAATCATGATCGCAATCGCAAAAAAATCTGCTAAAGAAAAACTGGTTTTTGTCTTTTTTTATTGATTTAACTCAAAAGTCTCTTTACGAAAGTAGACTGATTTTGTAGCCTCACCGTCACTTGAGAAATGTAAACTTACTCTCGATGTTTCCTTCTTAGTTAAGTTAGTAAATGGTATTATTGACTTGCCGACACTACTTCGTGTAATATGTAATTCAATATTCCAAACAGTTTTGTAGGGGCTCTGGTATACTTGAGAAAATGTTGGTGTTATTGAGAAAAAATTGCGCTGTCCACTATATTTATTTTAGATTTAACCCATTTTTAAGCAGATAATATACTTTTATTTAAGCAACGTATAAAATAGTTTTTAACATTATGTCTTGTTGGCTTACGATAAATAAACAAAAATCTCAAAAAAGTGAAAAAAATAAAATTTAATTACTTGTAACTTTGTGTAGGCGTGGCCCATTTTTTCCATTTTTGCACGTAAAGAGCAGAGCATTTCGTAAAGTAAATGTGGAAATTATCAGCCTTCTAACTTTTATTATTATTATTATAAATTTAGCCAGAGAATAAATTCTAAGACTAAAGTCTTAAAACGCTAGCATCTAAGGCTTTCGGCTTTATTAAAATCTCTACCGCACTTGAGATTTGAATCCACGACCATTGAGTTGAAAGTCGAGACTCTTGCCTACTCGGCCACTCAGGCGGATTAATTTTTATAATTTCTGAGCAGCGAGCAAAAACTCCCAAATGTTTGTCAACAAAAACGGAACTACGTTTAGTTTACGCGCCATTGCGGTGTTCTGCTCTGACCAATTTGGCCCATTTTCAATACGAAACCGGATGCAATGTTTCTACAAAGTCGATATCTTCATTTTTGCGACGGACAGACATCACTTAATCAATTCAGAATTTCATGCTAGTCAAGAACGCATATGCTCTGTAGGGTGTCTGAAGCTTCCTTTCGGATGTTGCATACATCATGAAAAAAAAAAGAAAAAAGAGTATGCCTCCATCCTTCAGTGGTGGGTATAAAAGAATCGACTCTTTCTGTTTCTTTTTGTCTACTGCTTTTGATCCTCTGAACACATTTCCGAAAAGCTGTTATCCAGAATCACCCATATGTTTAACTCAAAAACGGTCCTCAGCAATAAGCTAGATATTTACGTAACAAACACAACTTGTGATATGCATATTTCTTCTTTTTTTTTAAACAATCATTCGTAATGATGATGGAAACAGGACGACCATGTCGTGTTTAAGTATGAGAACAGCTTTTTTGAGTTGCTTTGAAAAATCGAACGGCCAATTCATTTGAATATTGTCAAAAGTGAACATATATGATGAAACTCATATGTTCCCATTTTTAATTAAAAACAAAAAGGTCTATAAATACGAAGGGACAAAATTGGTAAAATTGCCTGAAAAAATTAATAAATCTTTATATAAAATGGAAAGTGTGTTGTTGACGGAACGCGGACTCCAAAAACTGAAAACTAAAATGAACTTCATTTGAGATTGTTTTTTAATGAAAAACGTTTTCTTTTTATTTAAACTTTATTTAAAGAAATGGTGTAAGAATTTTGAAACAAAACATTTTCACATAAATTCTAATAATTCTTCGGTTAACAATCGATTTATCTGCTTATTGTTTACAAGTTAATTAGAATTTAAAATAACTAGTGAAAACAATTAATCGTATTTTTGTTTTCATTGCAATATTTATATTTATGCTAATTGTGTAATATTGTAAAAAAAACCATACACATACATACACGCTCACATGCTCACACAAAAACGGACGATGTTAAAATTTAGTCATTGCAGTCGATATTGCATTATATATATAAATGATATTTATTGCAATTGTTGTTATTGTTGTTGTTTTTCTCTTTGTTAATATAAGAAATTCGTTTTGATGACGGTTACAAGTAATTCTTGGAAATTGTCTTTTTTCTTTGCTCATTTTTATAATAAATATGAATTTGTGTTAATGTATTTCTTCTTCTTTGTCTTCTTTTTAGATACTAAAAAAACATAAAACTTAACATTTATAAGGCAAAATGGATAAGAAATAAATATAACGCACCCAAGGGATATAGAATCTTTAGATATATAACATAGGAGACATTATTATTATCATAAAAAAATAACGTATAGTCATATGAGGAAAGAGAAAAAGTAAACCCAAATACATATAAATACCGTTGAATAAAAAAAATGTTATGAAAAGAGAGTAACTAATAACTACGCAAATAAAAACAACATCTACGTATTTCTCAATTCTGACTTTCCGCGATGAATGTGGTTTTTGCTACATATGCAATATATATCTATGTCTAGTAATTCCCTCAATCATTGTTTAGTGTTAAAATTTGAAAAACATCTCATGTAAGTAACGCGAAACGTGGTGGCAATAAATTATCCTCTCGTCAGGGAAGTAACATTAGCGGTTTAAAGTAGGCACGACATAAAATAGTAGCAGCTGACGGTGGCAAATCCTGGTTGCGATAATACATATTGCATTCTCTTTCGCTAAGCTTATCAAAAGCTGCTGCATATTCCCGGTGAAATGTTGCCAAATCGACATTTGAACGGCCAATAACAGTTAAGGCCAGAAACAGTATGTCTCGATATAGTGAATGTGATCTTTCAATGCCGCCCATTTTCAGCTTGTATCGTTCATTTGCCAGTTTTCTTACCGGAGTTAACAAATCGTTGCACCGTATTGCTGTAACTATTTGCTGTATAACACTAAGAGAATTCATAAAAAATTATTCTAAACGAATCTTTACTAAGTTTATTACTATATTTTAATAATGGACAAAATTTACATTCGCCGTAAAACGAAGCGTAAACATCTATCAGCTAAGATATGTAAAGGAGATATCCTTCACTTTGTTAAGTTATTAACAGAAATAAAAATATTTTAATAATGTCATAGAGTCGTAAATATATTTTGGGTTTTATGGAGAATAAAATGGGTAGCTTTAATGTCTACATAATAAATAATTAGGAAGACCGTAAAAGCCTGCGAACTTTCAGCCGATTCTGGCAAATATTTGAAACAAATTTTAAATCAAATTTATTTATTAACTGTCAAACGATAATTGGTGGATACTATGTAAGCATATTGAACGAAGTTAGTTGATTTATTACCAACTTGCTTGGTTAATACTCGAAGGTAATTACAGATATACCTATCGCAATCATCGCAAAAATCACAATTATTGGTCGGTAATACGCTCGAGTCCTATCGTAGATCGATATGAAGACCCCAACTAATTTGGACGTCTGTTTGTCAGCTAAAGTCATCGGAAATAGAGACTGAGAGCTGAAACCTTAGAGACATGTTCTAAAAAGAATACTATTGATTAAGCGCAAACATGTAGGCAAGCTACATAAGGATTAAAAACAAGAAGTTCTGAAGCATTGTACGATTAAAAAAAAAAAAAACTTACTTTTTATTGAACTGGGCTTGATCTGTCAGAAGAGCCTTCACCAGCGGACTCGTGGTTTGTGGCTGTCGATATAAAATATACAATGGTAATCCGGCCTCATTATGCATTTGCATGTTGTCCCACAAGCATTGGATTTTTACTTGTTTCACCTTACTCAAAGGATCTACTTCACTGTCAGTCTAGGAATATTCATAAAGTAAAAATATTTCCAGAACTTTGTTTTGTTATAACTCACTAAAGAGGGCGAACACAATTCGGGTAAATGGGTTTTGCTTTCAATACGTTCCATTATCCACAATAAATTCCAGAATATAATTGGATGTTCTTCGACGAAGTTGGGCTTCAATAATGCCAAGTCACCTTCTTGATTTAATATGTTTTCGAGTTCTTTACGTAAAACCAAAGGGTTCAGATATGGTATTGTTAAATCATTAGTCCGATTGTCATCACCGTCAATTGTATTCATAAAGTGTACGCTTAGAAATGGTACCGTTAGTTTATTACATGCATGACAAGTCGTATTTAAATTGGAATCTTCCGCAGACCAACCGGACATAATCTCTTCATCATATAGTAACACTGAACAGTTGTGGCATTGCGAGCACGACGTCATTTGTATGAGAACATCACAGTTGGTAGTTGCATCCACTAAATGCTAAAAAATTATACAACGACAATTAATGTATTTAAAATGTATTCTCAACATTTTTTTTATTACATCAACCGGTTGATTATATAAATTCTCGGGTAACGATAATAGTGCTGCATTTAAATTCATTACAGAATTATTTTCTCCTAAGGGCACTAGGTTGTTGTAGCTTGATTTACGCGATTCACTTAAACGGCCCCATGGATCTAAATCGCTAGACACTCGACGTACTTTCAGAGTGCCATCCTCATGAGCAATAATATCGTCTTCATTTAGGCCGCTGTCAATGTAGTTTTGTGTTGTTAAACTCGACTTTACGGGCGTTGAATTAGCCGAAATCGCAACTTTAATTTCATCAAATTTGCGAGTGATCGAGTTAGCAGCATACTTAATGCTACTTAAACTTCCTTGTATAATTTCGTTTGATTTTTTGCCAGTTAAACTAGGGCTAAAGTAAGAATCAATGGAAATTATCATCGATAATTATTAAATTTAAATTGAATATATCTAGAAACATATATAAATCAATAGAAAATTCCGACTCAATTTTTACAAAATCTAATTTTAACGGGAACAACAAAAACTAAAATCATTTAAACATAAAATGAGAGGCTTTAGTAAATCTGCCTTCAGTCCTTGTATACATACACTTACCTTATGTTTGATATATTTTCTATAATATTGGTAGGTAATTTCAAGTCTTTCTTAAAGGACAAGCGTGCAGGTGAATAACGTCTACGAAAATATTTCAAAATAAATCATAAAAATAAATAAATGCTTTAAATATTAAAAAAGCCGGTATACGAAAAATTAAATGCTAAATAAATAAAAAGAAAAATAATTGTGTAAAAAGAATTATATATATAATAAGGGGGCGACATTTGCAAAAAAAAAAATAAATAAATAAATAAATAAAAAACATCGTCTTATATCACATGCCTAACGTAAGACGGCGCACGTTAACGGCAAGTTAGACTGAAATACGGTATAAAATTTAATTTGCATGTAGCAAAAGAAACCTACCCGAAATTAAATTTCAATGCCGAACCTAAATTAGCCAAGCTCGAAGCTACACTGGAACCGGGCATAGTTTCAGATCTTTGCATACTTTTATTAAGTTGAGTTGATTCATCAAAGGTGGCACTGCGTTGGCCTTTAAACAGTATAGGTTTATCGCTATATATGTTGCTGTTATGAGTAATTGTTGTAGTAGACATACTGCTGGGAACCCTGTAGCCAGGGCTCGCTTTAAGTGTGGATGTTTGTGTTTCATCCAAAGCTCCTAGGGGATCATTTTGCGTTACGGGTGTTCGCGGTGATATTCTGTAAAATTAATTATCATCAAATTCGTCTTCAAAATTTGTTACAATTCTTATAAAAATACTTAGTGGGACTTCGTATTTGGCAGACCAATGCACATCCGTTTTGACGCTCTACATCATCAACGTCATCGTCATCGATTTCTTCTCTTGACCTTGTCAATTCACGAAATGTGTTATTTTCATTGTCATCATCATCGTCGCCTTCTTCATTTACGTTATTAATGTTGATTATTTTTCCGATAGTTGGATCGTTCTGTGATTGATGTCGCTGAAGTTTATTTAAAAGTTCTGCATCCACGCCAAAACTTTCTCTATTCGATAGCTGGCGTTTGGTGGTAGAAGTCAAATCGATTGCTGAACTTTGGGGACTGGGTGGTGTATGTGTATTTGTTGTTAAGGGTTGTGGATTTTTAATGGGTGATGAGGCTTCACCAGATATCAATAAGCCAGCACTACTAATTACGTCATCAGTAGCATCCTGGGAACCAATCGACTGACGCACAATACTGCCTAGTTTTGAGCGTAACTTATCGAAAGCGGAAAAATCTAATATAGTCACCCCATAACTCTCACTCCCTCCCGTTACTGCGGTACCAGTATTCATTTGCGATGAATTCGAAGATTCTAAACTGGTACGTGATGTACCATCTACAGTTTCCAGAGTACTTAAATTATTCTCACAAGATGCTGACAGTGGTTTGCGAGAAGCCCTTAATCGGCCGGCATGTTTAAAATGTGCCGCTCCGAGCACTATATTTTTAATTCGATTCCAACGTAGTTGGCTTAAGGTTGTACTATCACTGGGCCATTCTGATTCCAATACACACCGATTGTAAAAACCATAAGTTAATGCATTAGCCTGCACTCCAGACCTCTTCATTAAATAATGCAAACGTACCGCCAAAACTGGTAGATTGTAATTGCCACACAACTGCATCATAATTCGATAGCAAAATTCGTCACAAGTAACCTTTAGCTTACTAGCCTTTACTAGCATATCGTAAGCGGCTCTTAAAATATCGTGTTCTTTACCGCCGCGGCGTGTATCCAGTAACATGGCCGGGAGTATAAGAAAATATAGAGAATAACACGTGGCCAGTAAGTATTTAGCCCACAATTCAGGATTTATCTGACAACGACGTGCCAATTTCTGTGATAATTTAATTTCGTGTTTAGTCCGACGAGCTATTGGTGAACCCGGCGCTTGAGTGCCGTTCAATTGTTGTTGCATTATATGCGTTATCTGAGTTTTTTTCGATTTCAATAAATTTGGATTGAGTGTGAAGTTTACATAGTTGTAAACTAGGGCAGAGGCAATTTCTATAAGGAAAATACAAGTTAAAATGTTATACAAGACAAGATCGACAACTGAGTACCCAATATCACTTCGCCCAATTCTTCCTTACTTTTTTTATAAATTCAAAAAATAACTCATTGTTGACATATAGAGATTTCCTTTTTACTTATTTGCAAAGGGGTCAAAAAATAGATCATTACAGTCTATATTTGTATATCAAATATTTGTATGTGAAATGAATAAAGCGCTAAAAAGTACACTATTTGGTCATATAAAAAACCATTTCTTGGAGGAACACTTACATAGGAGGCAAAAAAATTGCTGCATTCAGTCTAAATTTTTCGCTGTCATTTAGTATCCATGATTAGATTTTATCGAAATATCTTGAAAGTTGTTACCTATAGATTGAACATTAAAAATATGGGCAGTCTCCCGTCCAGAACTAATTCAATTCAGAAAATAATTTTAGACCGGTTGATATAGTGAAAGATGGATATATACCAACTCCTCTTGAGTGTTGTGTACTATCTCGAAAAACCTAAGTGATCTTCACTACAAATGGTATAGTACATTATAATGTTTACAGATGAACAAGTCGCAAGCTCTAAATGGTTATCGTCGCAAACACTTTTCATAAGCATTTATTTAAGCAGCTTTTATGTCGACGTGGAAGTTGTCAATCGATAAACCGGTTACTTACATCGATCGTTATCTGATCGAACTGAAAATTTTCACGCACCTTTATATAGTGCAGATTGCCTCTTTTCAACATTTCCTTGACCTGTGTATCAAATTAAAGGGCTTGGAGAGTAAAGTGTAACGTCATTATCATATATTAAATGTTTTAACTGTCTCTTTAATGCAAATTGTAAGATTAAAAATTAAAAAAATTAATTTGACAAAAATTTGTAGCTTACTTGAACCAAAAGATGAAAAATAAATTGTTTCCCAGTTTCACCACTACCCACAAAAGCTCGAGGCGTATAGAAATTAATGCACCTAAAGCTTTTAAATATAGTCACGGTGTAACCCTGAACATAAAATCTTTTACCATCCTATGGTTCATTAAAATAAAATATTTCTTTAAAAAATTTGTTTGCATAAATTATTTTATAAAAAAGCAAGCACAGTCATATTGACATGGGATTTTTCACTGATCTTTGGAAATTCCTTAATAAGTTTAAGGTAATAGGTTTAAAAAAGTAGTGGAACATTTTTTAATTACCTTTGGAGGGTACAACACTGTCAGGTGGGAAAATATATTTCGTACGTTCACTATTTTGACCACATTCCCATTCTACTAAACGTATATCAGAGGGTGTTTCATCATAAGAACCTACTTTTTCGGCACATTCATCGAAAAAGGTTAAACCATGGTCACCATCCGATACAAACGAGCGTTCTTCAATAAAACGTATAAACATTTGAGTCTTCATAAGTAATTCGAAAAATTTCTGATAAGCCTAAAAGGATGATTTTTAACATTAAAAAGGCTTAGCGATATCTATATATTTTACCTTATCTCTGGAGCGTAAAAATGCTTTTAATTGAAATAAGGCACTGGGATCAGTGGCACCCACTGAGGGAGCTTTAGAGATGGGCACCAAATATTCACGGTAACCGCGCAAAATTGAAGCCATAAACAAGAGAAACGCCTCTTGAATACGTTGCTCCAAATGTTGCTAAATTGAAAAATTTTCCAAATTATTATTTTTCCGGCCATTCTCAGTAAATACCCACACCTCTCGTTTACGTCTCCTTAAATCGCGATCTAAACTATTTGTTGAGTCTAAATTTAGAGGTTTCATTGCTTCGAGTTCATTAAGGGTTTGTCGTAGGATACGTGACGCACGTTTCGGCAACAGCTTTACAGTTAAATGCTTCTGCGATTCACACAACTAATAAACATTTCACATTATTTATATTTTGTATTGCTTTTTTTTTGTGCTTACGCTTATGGTATTTGTGTCCAAATCGATGCAAGTGACATCTGTGGGTGGTTCATATAGGTCAAAAAACCTCGAATCGACACCAATTAAGTAAGGCAGTGGTGCATGTAAGACTTCAGCTAAGCCTAAAGGACACAACGGAATGTACGGGCATTGCCATTTAAATGGGAACAACAAAGACACAATTGCCTCAGCAACTGCTGTTAAGGTGGCTGGTCTGAAGTGTTTATATCTTATAATGTAGTTATCTTAATTTATTTAACTTATCTAAACGTTACCTTAAAGAGTGTATAAGTATTTTTTGTTCCGTCAAGGCTAAAAGTAAAACATGTAGACAATTCTCGGTACCTAAGTTCTGTAATAACATATGAAAACCTGCACCGCTTCGTGGTAAAGGTGAATCCTCAGGTTGTGTCAACAATATGCGATCATTTGACTCGCTAGATAACTAATGTGGAAACAAGCATAAATTATTCAAACTTTTCTATAGAACACTTGATTTCTACCTGCAAATGTATACTAGGCGAGGGAAAGGGCACTTCATCTAATAATTGAGTGATATAACGTTCAATTGGAACGACTAAATCCATACCAAATACTGCCATACGCTAAAAATTAAATAACGAGTATTTTCTTCGATTCTTTTAAGGCCAAAATGATCATAACTTACGTGTAAGTATTTAAGCCACTTGTCAAATGTATCACCGAAGGGATAATGAGACAGTAAGCAAATTGCTTTTATAATATGCAACGAGTGCTTTTGAGCAAATTCGTCATTCCAACCTAACAATTCACGTTGTTGACTTGTTAGTTGTGAGTCGCTAAAACAAATTTTAAGAAAACTACGTATAAAATCTTTTATCTTAAAGGGAAAACTTACTCGAAATCCTCATAGAATGTTAACGCAGAACCGTATACTTTATAAGTACCATCATTAACAGTTAACACAAATGTACTGAATACGGGCGCCGTTGGCTTACGTTTACTACATTCAACGTTTGGCCATGCTTCTAGGGAAGCTCCCATTGGTAAGCAGAATAAGGGTACGCTAGGACATAAATTCAATGGGAAATCATTATGATCGATTGTGGGATAACGTAACAAAATTTCTGGTTGATAGCTGATGTGTTTTGGACGGTACATCGATTTTTTATAACATAGATAAACGTCGCTGCCTGTAAACGCTTTGTTAAGGGATTTGTAGATTAGGCAAAAAGCATGAGGTGGTCTTTCCCCTTTACTGCTAACAATTACACACAAATCCGTAACGACCAATTCATTGCATGGCATGTCAGCACGTGCTCGTCTGAAAGTTAGGAAAGTTTTAGCCGATGAATTGTTAACATTTGCTACACGTCCACTTGGTGTTTCTGATACAATTTCAGCATCAGACATAATGCGTTCGTGACCTTCATAAAGTACACCTACAGAAAATCCAATTTTACAAACTGTATTAATTTTATTAATATTCATTACCTATATCAACCAAAGGTGGGTGATCTCCGCCACGTCGATAGTAAATGTAACATTCGGTAGCGCGTATGGAACCGTGATTTAAATTAGCCGGCAAACCAGCAGGAGTATTCTTTAGAACTTCGTAATTACTGGGAACTTCTTCGCCCAACAAAGGAAAGAACACCCCTATGTCTGTAATAGGTTCAATTGAATGGGCCGCACGTAAATGTCCAGATTCATTGAAATTGCTTTCCTGGAGTAGCTGAGGTTTATCTGGCATACCGGCCACAACAAAGTAATCGGCTATACGTTTTTCCTCCATAGCAACTGAAACGAAAAACGCATACAAAATTGCATTGATGTCCTTGACACTATCTGGCAATGGTGGGGAAGATAAAAGGAAGCAAATGTCTGACGATATATAACAAGTTTTTATTTTACTATATGCATGCAAGTCGTAAATACATACACTTAATTGATGATTCAACACAATCAGAAAGATAAACGCGATGGGAATAATAACACAAACAAAAACAAAAACCTAAATTTAGGCGAAATGTCTAAAGATTAAAATATAAACAAGTTATGAAATCAACCGCAAGAATAGCATACTTTGGCAACCACTATGGAAGTAAAACACATTGAATTCTCCACCTTGACGGGATACTTTGCCTTTTGCTTTTTATGAAGTTTTGTACTTGTTTGCTTTGTCCAAAACAACTATATTTTTTCTCTCTATTCAAATCACTACGCAATTCTTTACTATTTAATGAAGACGCTAATAGTCACTTAATCATTGCACAAAGAAACTTATTACAAAGTATTAAAAATATAAAACTAATAACTTTTCCCTTACAAAATTCTCACAAAAATTAGATAAAAATGCATTTGTCGCGGTCAAGTGAGTTAATGTTGATTTTATAAATTACGATATAACTTAACAAGAAAAACAACAACAACAAAAAACGGTATATATACATTACATTCGTTAGGAAGCGGTAGCTTTATTTATTACAAATAGGATTTAATCGTTGGATTCGTTACGAAGTGGTAGTTTTATTCGCTAACAAGTCTCGATCGTTACCTTATTATGAAAGCAAAAGTCTTAAGCGCGAAACACAATGACTGTAGTTCCATTTTTTGTTAATGCAGTGATGCAGCACGCTAAACACGTATAGCAATAACACATTATCACACAGCTTCCATCTTACGCTTTTGGCGAAATCATATGGTTTAGGAAACTGGCCACCTGATTAGATTAAGTTTTGTTTACATAAACATTGATAAAGGGAAAAACTATTTCCAATAGCGACTTTTTTGAAACAAATGACATTTAAGAAAACAAAAATAATTTTTTTTTGGGTGCACAAAATCTGTGAAAAATTAAAAATTGTTAAAAAATTATAAATTGCATAAAAATCTAGTGCCTAATTCTAATAACTGAAATCTTTCTGGGACTCCCTATTGAGTCTTATATTAATAAGCTATCTAAATTAAAAAAACTTGTTTAATATTCATTATCTTCAAACGTACGTACTCTCTTTGGTTGCAAAAAGAATACATATACAAGAGCTATTTTCTTGTGTCATCACAAAAGTGTGGCTACTGTCTTTTGAATACTTTAACAAAGTCTTAATACTCTGTTTGATCTGATACCGATAGAATCAAGTGATTGCTTGCGGTTTCGGTCTTACCTTCTCATCCTCATTATTGTCTGTGTTGCTTTAGCAACTTTTGATTAAATCTTTAACTAATTCCTAATAAGTTAGCTGTTTTACTCTTTTCCTTCTTTGTGAAGATGGATTCCAAAAACTGCCCGCCCCGTAAGAAATTGTATATTAAAAAATGATTACGAATGTAAATGATTTTAATACTTATTGGAAAACATATTCCATTAAGCGAGAGACCTTAAGCCGTCGAATGGCAACCAAAAAAACCGTGCGGTAAAGATTTGGCGGTGGTAAATGATTGCCAACTTCCTGCTGTGAGGAAATGACCATAGAGGACAATACTTTCGTAAATGTAGATTTATTATTATTATTATTATAATTTTAGACTAATGTAATAAATTCTTAGACTAAAAAAAAGACATTGAGCACTAGCAGCACAGGCTATCGGCTTTAATATAAATAAATGTGCATTAGATAATAAGCTTAGTAGTATTAATAAGGTAATATATTGAATTTATATTCGGTTCTGAAGCTGATTTTAGAATGTCCAAAGGGTTAGTCGTTCCAAATGCAATACTTCTAGCCAAGGAAAACTTAAGGCAGTCGCAGAGAATCTGCTTTATAGTGAGAGTTTGTCCATAATTGCAGATTGGTGAGTTGTAATTGTATGACCAAGGCGAATTCTCGAAAATGTTTGGGTCTTGATTTTCTCAACGTTTGTTGGATATAAAGGTGGAATTAATTGAGGGTTTATGGAAGAGTAGTCTTGATGATGGTATTGTAAATTTTCTTCTGCAATTTTAACTTTAATTTTTCTCCCAATGTATCTTTGAAGATCCAACTTTTCCATGACATCATCCATAATTAGAGGCGCAGAAGCACCGTACTTTGCCGCTTGATCAGCCTGCTCATTTCCCAATAAATCGATGTGACTTGGTACCCATAACATTTTAATTTTTCCGTCGGGTGTAGTAATTATATTTCTTAATTTGTTGATGGTGCTCCATCTCGAAGTCGAAGGGTTCCGAATAGTTTGTAATACAGACAAAGTGTCGGTAACAATGACGGTTTTGAGTTTGCTGTTATGGGCAAGGTTCGCAGCGTGAAGGATAGCTCTGGCTTCGGTTGTGAAAGTTGAAGTACTTTCGTGAAATATGTGATTGAGAAGAACCTGTCCTGTAGCATTTACCACGGTACAAGCAGGAGGCAGGCCAAAATATTTTGAGCCGTCTGTGTTTAAAAGATTCCAACCAGTACTTTCCAATATTTGGGTTTTTTCAGCTATTAGATTCCTGAAGACGTAATTTGGAGTATCTTCTTTTTTGTGCATAAGCAGCGAGATGTCAAAAGAGCAGTCTTTCAAAATCCATAGAGGTTTAACACCAAAAGAGTGGAGAATTTTTAAGGGAATATTCAATTCTTTTGCGACGTACAAACAATGGTCAATTGCAGATGGTGAGTTTGGAAGTTTCTTCGCAATAATAATCTTTTTCATGTCATCACCGAGAATAGGTTGGTTTGAATTATGAAGCTTGGGGACTATTTTAGCTTTTAACTCATACAGTCTATTTTCTAAAGTTGGGAGACCAGTTTCAATTATAATATTCTTTATGGGCGTCGTCCGAAAAGCATAACTTGCTCTGACGGCTTGGTGATAGACCGGTTTAAGGATGTTGATATTAGATTTGCAGCTATTGCCATAAATTATCAAAGCATAGTCAATCTTGCTCAAAACAAGCATTTTGGTAAGATACGTAACAGTGTCAATGTGCGCATGGCTTTTCAAGCAACGTGCTGTATGAAATTCACCCTTGTTAAAATGGAATTTCTTAATCGAAGACAGTGTCTTTTGCAATATTTGTTGGAAAACGTGAGCCCGAGAATATGTACATTTTGTACTGGCAAATCATTAATATGCATAAGTAGATTTCCTACATCGCATATATGCGTTCGAGAAATGTCCATTTTTTATCTTATTTTTGTATAGAAATTTTAGCCCCTGACGAGTTTGCCCATGCGGAGATCTCTCGTCCAATAGATTCGAGGATGTTGATTGCTTTCGTGTTGTCTTTTTCGTTTGTAAAAAAGTATACATCGTCCGCGTAGAGACAATGTTCCACTCTTGGTACACGGCAAAGAATATTGCTAATTTCGTTGAAGGCGATCTGGAAAAGCATGACAGAGACAGGAGATCCTTGCGGAATGCCATTCATTAGCGGAAAAGAATCAGAAAGATGATTGTTGATTCTAACTTTGAACCGCTGATGCGACATGAATGATTTGATGTAGTTGAAGAATTGGGGTTCAACATTCCATGATATCAGGAGTCCTAAAATAACATGAAGACCAACTCTGTTAAATGCTTTTTCGAAATCAATTGAGAGAATAGTTACGTGATTTCGTTCGGAAATTGCTTTGCTTGTGAAATAATCAATATGTAACATAGCGTTGATGCACCCTCTACCCCGCTTGAAACCAACTTGTTGCTTTGTAATCAGGTTCTTGGACTCAAGAAACCAAGATAATCTAGATGCCATAATCTTTTCTAACACTTTTGAGAGGCAAGATAAAAGATAGATTGGGCGATAATCCGATGCGATGGAGTAATTTTTAGACTTTGGAATTGGAACAACTGCTGCCAGTTTCCACATGTAGGGTATATGGCCAGTCATAAATACCGTATTATATAGGTCCAGTAATTTCTTTTTACTAGACTTAGACATAGCACTGATCATTTGTTATGAAATGCGGTCTAGACCAGGTGTCTTCCCCTTCAAATTGGAGAGACAACTTCCAAGTTCCGAGGTAGATACGCAATTTTCCAGGAACATGGCACATCTATCGATATTATTTGAAGGAGATATTGGAGTCCTTTTATTTTCGATGAAAGCACTGGAGAAGTTGCTGTCAGAGGAGTATTCGCACCACACTTTTCCAAAGTAATTAGAAATCTCATCTGCATCAGTTAAAGTTCCATTGGGAGTGCAGATGGCAGAAATTTCGTTCAGGTTTGAAGTCCCATTAAGTCTGTTGATTTTGTTCCAGACAACTTTCATTGATGTATTTCTGTGAATTCGTCTCGAGAAAAGTTCGAAACTAAGTTTGATTTCCGTAATTCCTTCCTGAATAGAGCATTGGCCTTTTTGTATAATAACAAGTGATTCTGATCAGGACATCTCTTAAAGCGGTGCCAAAGATCCATTTTATTTTTCCTCAAAAACGAAAGGGTGTTTTTCCACCAAGGAACCCTAGCTCGTTCAAAAGAGGTTTTGGATTGAGGAATAGAAAGATGAGCAGCCTTGCGAATCGCTTTGGACATAATAGCAGCATCATGGTTGCAGTTCCCGTTAAATGGCTTTGAATTCAAAAATGACTCCACCTGTTTGGAGTAATTGATCCAATCCGCTTTATCTAGGAGGAATTTGGCCTGTTTTGCTGGAGTAGCAGAGGACGTTGAAAGTTTAAGATCGATTATGATTGGAAAGTGATCACTATTATGTAGATCATCAGAAATAGACCAGGAAACCAAAGGAAGAAGTGAGGGAGAGCAACATGTTAAATCAATATGTGAAAAAGTATGATGAGTTGGGAAGTGCGTTGGGTTTCCATCATTTCAAACGCAAAGGTTGTTTTGAAAAAAGGCTTTTTCTAAAACAGTACCGCGAGTGTTGTTCACTCTTGAGCCCCAGATGGTATTCCAGCTGGTGAAGTCGTCGCATATAATTAATGGGGGGGAAAGTACGGAGAATAAATTGTAGAGTTCCAGCTGAGAAAACGATTGCGAAGGTGAAATGTAGAGCGAAAGCACTGTAAATTTTATGTTTAACATTATTTGTATCGCTACGGCTTGTATATT